GCTGAGGCTCACTAAGAACAAGGTCTATTCTTTCCAAAGCTATTCAAGAGATGGATGTTTTTCCAGGCTACCACAGGATGCACTACTGTGTGAACTTTCTAACCTATACGCTCTGTTTTATGAAAGGAAGTACATTCGTTCATGTGTTTGCTGAACTCCTTCAGCACTGAAGGTAGATGAAGTCATAAACGATGTCTGGATGCTTCTTCAGTAGTAAACCACTTCCATTCGGTAAGAATATAAGAGGTTCATGGAGTGGAAGCTGGATTTGTAAATTTTTTTTTTTTTTTTAAAGGGCCTGTTTTCAACAGTAGTCACACAGGACATATAGATACTTTACTCTGCTCAAGTTCCAACCGACCACACAAAAGGCTTCAGAAGCTGCATAGCTGCACTACCACAAACAATGAAAATGCCTTAATTACCTGTGTACTGTCAATTTCAATCAACTCTCTCTAAATCCAAAACGGACTCGGAATACTTTTTACATCATATGCAGGCCAAAAATTAAATGGCATACTTAAAGGAAAGGAGAGGATTTATGAGGTTAGTTTGAAATCTTCAGGCCTAGAAAGAACACATCATCGTGAATAGCCCCGAGTCACACAAAGTAGAGAAGATCTCTTGCTCCTGGGAGATTCTCTTCAAAATAAAGGCACAATGGAAGCATTCTTCCATGGGCTCCAAAGTCACAATAATCAGTAAAAACATTAAAAAAACCATTAAAAAATTAACCCTAAATTGTACGTAACAAAGAGAAAAAGATGGGGGCGTAGATATCCCTGAAGTTTGCTGAGATTTTCAGAGAAGCATTCTTCGTGTCAGTTGGACCCAACTGAGATACAATTTTGCAGAGTTCAAAACAACAAATCACTATTTTCTGAGAAGGAAGAAACAAGAATGAAAGATGCGTAATGGTCACATGCATTTTGTGAGACCTGTCCTAAACAGAACTAATCAAGGAGTTTATTGCTTCAGGGAGAGTGATAGGTTCAACAACTTTTGAGTTCCCTGAGTCAAACTAAGGTGAATAAAGGTGGAGCCTAGGGTGAGCTGCTCTTTTTGGCTAAAACCCATGCCGCTTGCATGGCATATGCAAGGAAGGAAGGAATATGGAGGAGTAAGAGGCAAGATATTAGTTATTCCAAGCCTGCATTTCAGCTATAATCTGCATCTTGAAAATCTCTATAGAGAATTATTTATCAAGTGCTATTTATCAAGTTTTACTACAAGGCTCATCACTAAGATAAACATCAAAAGAACATTTCAGTTAATATTCATTATAATTACATACATGATGTTTGGCAAGTTCTATTTCAATAGCCTTGGGGTCTCCACCCACAGGTTTCTGTTCATTCAGCAAGTCTTCTGTATGCGTCAGCCACGTCAGTAACTCATCCAGGGCATGCTGGAATTGCCCCAAGGCTAACAAGGCACCTTCCAGCTTGTGCTGTAGTAAAAATAAAATTAACAATAAAATGGTTTCACAATGCTATTGAATTGGGTTATATTACCATTAGTCACCATAATCCAGAGCGGAGTCCATGCGTATGATAGCATAAAAACCAGGGAGAAACAGTTATCCAACACAAGCAACCGCTTTATACTTAGAGCTGAGTTAGCAATTCCCCTGTAAAGCCTCACATTCCAGGCTTAAATTCCTGACCTTTGAAGACCCCATTGTAACCACAGCAGAGTTAAGTTTGAAGGTTCTCTCATCAGAGACATGACAGTAGTTTTTCATCACTTAAAACATAATTTCAACATAAATGCAATTTGGTGCATGATCTTTTTAAAACCTTTTCTTTGTCGTGAAATGATTCAATTTAGAAAAAAAAAAACATTTCAAAGCACTGCAGCTTTAAATCTCTTTCACTTTGATAATTTAAGGAAAGAACACTGAAACAGTTTAATATTAAGTTGTTGTGGGCTTTTTTAAAGTGCTCAGTTCAGCAGCTAGTATTACTTTTGCACATATAAACATGTTTTCAGCTGCTACTTAAGATGTCATCAAATAACCAAAATGAAGTAATAATGATTCGACATGGCACTGCTGACAGAGGAAGTAACAAAAAAATACTGCTAGGGGTTTAAAAACCATAAAAACAACTCAATAAATCTTAAAATTCAAATTCTATTATATATAGTTCTATAATTTCCTAACCAAAAGGAATAAATGTGTAAATTGATACAAATGTTATACATAATAAAAAGCTTTTCTCAAAAATCTAAGCCATGAATAAAGCCCCCACCTTCAAGTTTATTTACCTGTCTATTTATAATTTTTTCTTCTAGGCTGTCCCACATTAGTTTGAGCTCTGAGAGAGGGTCTTGAACAGTGTGCTTGTCACTCTCCTCTGTTACCTTCTTCAGCAATAGTTCTGCCTGATGGTTCAGTCTTTCCATTTCTATCTGCTGCTGATAAGCTTCTGTCTTAAATTGCTATGGTAAATAGAAAAAGAATACAAATAAACATATCACAAGTAACGATCTTCTTGAATATAGCATAGTACAGCAGTATTTACAATACTTGTGCATCACTGTCAACTTTCATAAATTTGGGGGTTTGTTTTCCAGGGTCAAAATGCTTGTAAGACACTGATAATCCAGACAGTCCCAGCTAACAGAAAACATGCAACAATGTCTTACTATTCTAGCAGATATTGCTAACTGTGACCAGAGGATGGCAAAGATGCCCAATAGGAAAGTATTCTCCAATGATCTCCCTGGTCTGTAAAAAAGGCAGAACGTACCTTGAGTAACTTCTAGATCTTGTGGTTGTGATAACATAATACTTTAAACTTCAAATAGAATTATTCTTCAAAAGAGTTGAAAGCAAATTTTCCCTAGCAGAACACCCTCTCCTGTACACGCAACTTGGGCAGCAGTCTGAATACAACTCGCATATGTGTGTCCTTCTGAGCTATGTAAGATTACGGTTCATTTGAAATTACATCAGAAAATAGATAGATTAAATAACCTGCCCACAGCCAAAAAATGTACAAGTGAGCCACAAAACCGAGGACATTCCCTGATCATTATACATCCCTGTTTTTTATATACAGCATAACAGCCTACCAATGTCAGGAGCATACTCAGTCACAGATCCATACAGACAGGTTTCTAAGTTAGTCTGAAATTTTGATTTTCAGTTTATTCATGTATTGGGAATGTCACGATCTGTGTGAGCATGTAAATAAAGCCTTAATGGCAGAAGTGAGGCTTTGGAGGCATTCTCTCAGAGCCTCAAGGAAGCTGTTCATGGTAGAAACCAGAAAACGTAAAAGTCATAGCAAAATAACCCTGTACATAATAACCTTATAGCCTTTGAAAGAGAAGGAATGCTATTGAAAGTATTTCTGGGCTATCAGAACATATTCACAAAATAAAATGTATCTCACCAAAATTTGGAATAGATTTTAAAATGAAACACATTTTAAAATGAAAAGTTTGCAGTGAAATGTTATTTGAAATTTTCATACAGATTCTTTTTTACTAGAAATTGAAAATGAAAATTGCTTTTGACTCTTGAAAAATACAGAAAAATACTAAGTAACACAGAAAAAAGCAGACAGATGAAAATATAAATGAAATAAATTACTAGTTCATACCTTAAGTTCCTCAGTTTGCTGCTTCACTGTTTCCAGATCTGTTCCAACTGGGGACATAGATGCTAACTTGCTGCCAGCAATGTCTACCCAGTCAAATATTGCCTGAAAATCACAGTATGAAATTGAAGCGTGAGCAGAGAAATAGTGTCATATTTGAAAGCTGTATTAAGTAAAATATCATTTTTTTTTTTTTACTCCAGAGAACAATATTGCTGTGCTCTTTGAAAGAAAATAGCTTTCTTCAGCGAAACCTAGGTTTCTTTGCAATACAAGGGCTCAAATATTAACTAAAGTATTCCATGTAATGGTTACAAGAATGTACATGCTGCAAGACTGATCTTCTATTAGCAGTAATATTCTGCCAGTACTACTCATGCTGAGTAGTACTCTAGTTCTTGAGTAAAATCAGCAATTTTTATGAATACTCTGAAAGGTAAATACAAGACAAACTCTGTTCTGCAGTCCTTTGGTACAAAGATAGAAGGCAGTAGCTGAATGATAACATACTTTAAATGATGATTACAAACAAACTTCCTTTGAAGGGTGTTTTCTGTGTAAGGAACATTCAGTACATATTACATAGTGAAGGGCCGTAACTGAGCTTGACTGAATCTCCATAGGATGATGCAGTTATAACTTTAAAAAACAAATGAAGTCTCCTCAGTTCCAAGGCTTTGTGGGTACTTCTTTTACTCCTGATATAATGCAGAACAACCTAAAGAACACTCCACTTAGAGATTAAGAATAGCTATATCAATCTGGGTAATTGCATAGGGGAAAAAACACCTCTGCTGGGCCCTCTTCCTCCTGCATGTTATCTGTGATGCATTACAGAGAAAGGCTTAGGACGGCTTGTCAGAGCTGCCCACTGCCACACAGCTCCTTGAGAAAAGGAGAACTACACCCAACAAACTCAACAGGATGAGCAGCTGCAGCTAACAATCTGCCCACAATACTTTTCATATTGTCTATTGAAATGAGCATAAGAAGGCACTTAAATACAGTTCTTTCACAAAGTACCAAGCTTGTAGGATGTTACAATGTACAGGCACAGGAAATACAAAGCACTTAAACCAATGACAGTGTTCCTAATGTAACCCTACAAGTCAACCTCTGTGCAGTATGAACGTAAGAGAACTTTGAGAAGAATACATAGTGAGGGTGCACTAGAAAACAAGCATGTTGCGTTATTATTAAGGAGTGTTCTGCGGCTTGATCTGCACGGAACACACAGGCAACTGCCCTCAGTGTCATGTGCAACTCTCTAATTTTAAAGATCTAACGAACCAAGGAAGATAGTAATTCTACTGAGCAAAAAAATAGTTTTGCAAAATCTGAGCATGTTTGGAATCTTTTCAAATGTTTCAATCTTCTAGCCATTCACTGACAAAAGATATGAGGCATGCCTCTCAGCCAAAACGTGCAAAGAATATGAAGGGAAAAAAAAAACCAAATAAAAAACAAACCAGCACAACTAGAGAAAAGATACCTTAAAAAACTGCTGGAAAATTTACTTACAAATTTAAAAAGTGAATCAGCTTCTAGAGCATTGTGATTGGATAAATTATACTAAGAATTAGTATAATGGTCCAGCAACATTATGTTAATAATATTTTTTGCTTAAAATATTCAAACTTTAATATCAGACTTATAAAAAAGGTGAAATAAAATTGAAGTTCTTTCACTGTCCCCCACTCAAAGAAAATAGCAGCAAGTGAGTATATGGACCTGTACTCTGTTCCCTTCAGATCATGTAAATGTGTCACAACTTCAACTCGCCCATCATATGAAGTACTGACCATCACAAGAAAATGTGAGCAGGATTACTGTGAATTTGTGTGATATCAAAAAACCTCTGCTCTTATCAATAAACAAGGGGACATTAATTTCGAATCTAAATATAGTGCAATATATGAACAACTACATGGAGAAAATAACCCAAATATTTAATGCAAAAAAACCAAACCAAAACAAAACACCAAACCCCAACCAACCCAGAGAAAAAATATCTGCCTACTGAAGAAAATAGTCACTGTAATCAGAGTGATACATTACTTGTCACCTACCCAATCACATGACATTTTTTACTACAAGCACATTAAATCCTATTGACTCAAGATTGGGTTAGGTGTATCACACCATCTTACCTGCAGTCCATCTTGGTATTGAACAGCTGCCTGCATAGCTTCAACAAGCTTATCCACCCGTTCTTTCCATGTTTTGTTTAAGGCATCCCAGGCAGAATTCAGCTGCAAGTAAGTGCAATTTACTCCAATGGACAAAAGAATTTTACTGCTGTATAATGTGCATTCACTAATTATTCACTGATCAATAACACCAATAAACTAAGCATGAATAGTTCATATTCATTCCATATTAACACTCTTGTTCTCCCTATCACTGCATAGTTAGTTTCCTTCAGAATACACTAGAGGTTCTGGATTACAAAAGCTCTAAACTTCAATACTGATTATTGAATACTTTTATTAACACAGGATCTATAGTTAAAACGGGAAATACTATTATTAAATCATTTGGAGTTGCATCATTATAAAAAAGGTAGCTTAAAAGAAATGTACATTGCTGAACATTAGAGAAATTAAAAGTACTCTGTAGCCATCCAAACAGGATTGTCTCAGTTAAGACGTCTCACTTGGCATAAACCAGATATATCTGAAATTTATTCTAGCATTACTTTTGCAAAAAGTAGTCATCTGTTGTATTAATTAGTGAGTATTTTTACAAAAAACTCTTCTGTCTTTTACAAAAATTTTAACCTATAAATAAATAAATAAAATAATA